TTTGAGAATGCTCAGGAGGCCTGAAGTCCTCTTAACTAATGTGCTTTGATATACTGTAATGACTGGAAATATTTAATGTTCAGGGCAATTGCTTTCCCTCGTATCCCCAGACAGTCACTATCTATAAAGGTAATTTCTTTTCCTCTGGTAATTTATGAAAAACCACAACAGACATGACTATAGGCTATGTGGAAAAATCAGTTGAGCAGTCAGATCTCCCCTTGGATTTATAGTGCTCTGTTACCTCCCATATTGCCACTGTAAGAAAAATTCACTCTCATATTTTAAAAAATAATGTAAATCTATCCTGAATCGACTCCATGATGTCTAGACAGCTTTAGCAAAAGCTAACATGAAATTATCTCTCATTTGAGGAAAGTAATAGTATTTTAATTGGACAAACTCTTAGATTGCTAATCCACTGTCATTAGAGCTAACTGAACCCAGGCTATATTTTTCTGTCACAAATCTTTCTTATACGTAATGTGTTAAGATAAATGCCAACTTGCTGTCAGTCTCTCACATGGGGATTACTACATAAATGCTTCAGAAAGAAAATTAATAACTTTTAGAAAATTATTAGACTAATGTTTTCAATTCTAGATGAATATTGTAATATATGCTTTTCACTGAATTCTACTAAAATAAAGAAGAAAATAATTTGATAGTAAAAGAACAAAGGACTAAACTTAAATGCTTGGTTTTAATAATTTAAAGTGAATCTTTTGAGGGCAACTACTTCAGATACATGTGTTCTCTGAATGGAAAGTGTGATTTTCTTTCGTTTCTTCTGTATGAATGTTGTTAAGAAAGGAATTAGTTTGTGGTCACAGATCACTAAGTAATAAATTAACTGAGCTTTCCTGGTCACTGTATACAGTTGGCCAATAGTGAATTTGGTAGGAACAATAGTTCTGTGCTTGGTCTCAGGAGATGAGTTTGGGTTCAGGTCATCTTCCTCATAAAAGTAATATGTGATAATATCTTCCTGAAATTTTTTCTCTAGTATCCAGTCACCTGTGTGCTAAATAGCCTATAAGTAAATATTGCCATATAAGAATTTCAACTACTTTCTCTATGGTTAATAGAGAAATGACTTGATAGTTAATTTTAAAGGGGAGGAGTTAAACTTCGTGTTCCTATAAATAATAGAATTATCACCTTTCTTATTACTATTTATTTAGCTGTTTTAAATGGACAGGATGAACAAATAAAACATACAAATAAATATTTTAATAGTTTTTTAAAGTAATCTAGAAAACAAGTTTATTAAAATAGCTTTCTTCTGTGATTTTATTTTTAAAAAGTCAACAAAAAGACTATTGAGCTTTATTTTTACCTTTTTGAAAAATTATCACATAAATATCATGTATATTTATTAATGTTTCTAAAAACTGGAAAGGCCTCTGTTGGCCTCAACTGCCTTAAAAAAACATTCTTAAGATTTGTATGGGGCAGATACTCATCATGGCTAAAGGCAGTATTTTTAGTGTTCAGGAAATTTTATGGGTCACAGCATGACTGTGCTAGAAAAGATCCTACAAATTATGCTCAGCTTCTCATTTGGTGGCTAAAGAACACAGGCTGAGAGATGTTAATTGAATTGCCCAAGATTTCTAAGAAAATCCAATTAAATTAAAGTAATTGGAATTATCCAAATTAATTCAACTTGATATTTCTTCCTAATATTCCTGATAATTGTTAGTCATATTTAGTGTTTACCAAATTTTTTCTATATAAATCCAGATAGTAAATATTAATATTTTAGGCTTTTCGAGCAACAGGGTCTCTGTAGCAACTACTCAACTCTGAGTTGAGTGTACGAGTAGTACACTCTGCTGTAGTGTACAAATATCCCCAAGACAACGTGTAAATGAGTGAGCTTGTCTGTATGCACAGGAAATCTCAGGAGGTTTTCCTGAACAATGTGCTCTCCTGGAAGATCATTTTGTGGCATGTTGGGCATTTATTCCCTATTGTCTAAGGCCACTATTGTTCACACTTGCAGCAGGAGAGTGGGATAGGCTGCACTGCCCTGGTGAATTTTTGAATATCCATTGTATACGTGTTGGGTTCTTTAACACTTTTTTCCCTTTTTTTTTTTTTTAAGTTTCGTTGCAAAACTGATAAATGTATTCCATTCTGGTGGAAATGTGACACTGTGGATGATTGTGGCGATGGATCTGATGAACCCGATGACTGTCGTGAGTATATTAGCAAATGCTGTAATTTAGAGTTTAGAGTTCCTTACATCCCAGACACGGAAAATTGAAGCTAGATCTAAATTATTGCCTTCTGATACATTTCCAAAATTTAAATAGAAAGGTTTTATATGTCAATATTTAAAAATACAACAAAATTTGTTGCAATGTTTTGGGTATGTCTCTGATAACTGTTATATTTGGAATGATGCTATCAGCAGTTTTTGTTAATTTTTTTTTCCTCAAATTTGACTACTTCTAGAATAAATACATTACTTCATGTAGTGATCCAGTAGAGTCATAAACAGCACGCTTTTTACTTAATGTATCACCAAATTGGAAGAAAAAATGGGCAAGTTTTCAGAATACCACTCAGTGACTGAAATTGCACCTTTAGGGGATATAATCTCTCAACTTTTCTGTCAGTATTAAAATCCTGAAAATCCTTTAAAAGTAAGATTTTTCCAATATAAATCATTAGGTTACTGTTAGGCAATTTGATAATGTGTTCTTAGCAATTGCCCTAAAATGACTACTAATTATGTCTTGACATGTGACTGTGATCAGCATGGTTAGGTGTTACATTTTTAGCAATCATTGGTTACTTTGGTTGCAATGCACAGTCAGTAGACTTTTCCTGATAGCCTTTTATAGTTCACTCCATAGGTCACTTCAGTACTGTCCTGTCAAGTTGAAGATGCTTGTAGTCAATCATGATAATTCCCTCAACATCTCACTGGATGATCACCATGACTGGGCCTTGATAATTGAGTTCAAGATCCTTAGACTTACACTGAAAAAAGACAGTGTACTGTCTTAGCAAAAGCTAGCTACTTTCTGCTGTAGAATTTTCACCACCTCATTATAAAGCTATTTAAAATCTGGGGTCTCTAAGCAGTTACTTAGATGAATTGTGTTTCATTTCTCTGGTCACTACC